GGGGGGGGGGGGGGGTTCAGGTGGGCATGCCCCCCTGCATTTCACAATGATTTGATGTTTTGGCTATTAGGATTGATATTTACTTGAAAACAATTGATTTGCAATGGTTTTAGTGGCCATACGCCAGCACCACACACGCACAAACAAACACACACACACATGACCAACCCATGTCATACACAACGTCCACTGAGGTCAAATCAATGCATTTGTGTGTGGGTGCATAAGTAAAAATTTACCGAGTTTTCCATGTGTGTTCGTGTTACCTGTGCCTGGCTGTAATTTTATTCTATCTGCATTTGTATTAGTACATGACATGTACTACTAATGAATAATGTGTTGATGAGAAACGAAACTAAGCATACATTCGTTGCTCCCCAACAGGAGGTATAAACCCTCAGTCTGAAGTTTGAATCACACTTGTGAATTTCTATGCTCTGTTCATGGTTCATGTGTTACATATTATGGTATATTAATATTAGCCTATTAATTAATTTACTAAGATTGGCTTTTTGTCAGGGCGAATCTGTTCTTCAATCTTCCACCTTTGTTTACTCAATGTATCTCATACATCAATACCAATATATATATATAATACACTCCTTTTACTTTTATGCACACGAAGACATTAACAATACATGATACTATTGATACACTGTCAAACCCTGTTGTTATACCACCAACCTAGGGACAAGCACGAAATTGGCAGTACAGCAGGGCTGGTGGTGGTATAATGGCTCGCTGTAGCAGTCATTGCCATTTTGACTAGTGGTCTGGTAGCCAACAGGGACTGACTGTAACCAGCCTTGACTCACTTACATCTATCTTGTGCAATTGCCATGCGCAACGAAAAACAAGTAGCAACCAACATCCAACTCCAGCTGAACTTTGCAGAACTTCAGATTGAATGTTTCTGGAGCTAGGTTAATGTGTCAATTGTCAAAGTAAAGACTCTATAGATGACCGTTTTAGACCCTATATTATATAGATACGTACCGTTTTATTACCCGGTACTTGTCAGTCCCCGGGCTGCTCAGACCTTTCCCATAGACTTCAGTGTGAGTTTGTCCCCGTGGTTTTATGCACCCCGCATATTTTATTGGCAAAATTTGATAATTTTTTGCATAATTTCTGATTACTTTTCTTTATCATTTTTTGTTAAAATAAACAGAATCGCATAATTTCACATTTTTGGACTCAGTTTGCATAATTTCAGAATTTTTCTTGCATAAAACGACGGGGACAGGTGTGAGGGCTGCCTCAAGCCTTTTGGTCATTGGGCGATCTGTTGAGGCAATAAGATATTCAGCCTACAGGCCAAGATGGCGCAGTTCCTTAAAATTTTCTCCAGGCAACTTAAAATTTCTTTCCCCAATAAACTGACAGGTCTGGTGTTCGCCTCTCATTCAAAAACTCACGGGTTAGAAACCTGACAGCGACAAAATAGTTTTCTTTTCTAAAATTTTCTCCTTTCACCTTCTTTCCTGATCTCTTGTCCTGTTCAGTAATCTGATCCCCCCCCCCCCTCCCTCTTTTTTACTTGCGACCCTTTCTACTGCTACTCCTGGCTCATTCTTACTGCTGTCTTTCAGCCGCGCCCTTGATCTTAAGGTAGGTGAAATCAAACACCTAGCCTTCTCGGATAAGAACACAAAAATCTTGGAAAAACCGTGTGCAAGTTGCGCATGTTAAAGGCCCCTTGGAGGTCTCAAAATCGATAAGAGTAGGCTATGGCTGCCATCCGGGCAGAATTCAAAATTGATTCCTACCAAAACTGAACATACTCAAAAACATACAGAGTACCCTCGAAATCAGAATGTGGCTGCCTGCTGAGGTCAAAGGGCCCAACGAAATAGGAAAAATAGTCATACGTTGCACTGCAAGCTGAAGAACCAGCAGTCAGCTACCCCCTCGGATCTAACGGTGGTATAACGAGGTTCAACTGTACATGTACCGGTATTACATTTTGGACCTAGGAGCGAGTGAGTCAGGGAACATAGACCGACATCTATGGTGTAGTGGTTAAATACTTTGCCATCGTACGCAAAAGACTAGGGTTCAATTTCGTTTAGGAAGAATTTTTATCACGCAGATGAAGCATTCTCGGTCTTTCTACTATGACGTAATAAATAGAGATTTATGTTGGAGTACATTGTTTTTAACTGTACACATGCAGGCCTACATCATTTTATGTTTCTAACCCTATCAGTATGTTGCAGCTTCATTTAAAACATTAAACTTGATTTTAAGGCTAAAGTCTTTTATAACAAGTCGATCATTCTATCCTTGAACTTGACATGACATGTGTCCTGTGTAAGTAAATATGGTTCCCAATTGTTTGCAGGTGGAATTGCTGCAGGGAGTCTGGCTGCCAAAATTATGAGTCTTTCATGGACGACAGGATATGGAGTGGCTGCTGTGGGAGCTGCTCAGTCTGTTGGTGCTGCAGGGGTCAGCGCTTCTACCGCGACAGCAGTAGGAACAGTCTGCAGTGCAGTATGGGGTGTCATCAAACACATTCGCTAAAATCTATGATGGCAACATGACCTAAAAACTTGAAATAGTAAATATCCAATAAGTTCCACTTTTCAGCCAAGCTTTTGAAGTTGTTTTGGTTTATATGGGTTCTTATGTGTGTATCCTGAGTTGTTAAAAAAAATTAGAATAACCCCTACAAATTTTCAAAATAAACACGTGACGAATGTGAATTATTGTGTCCCTTGGCTTACAGTATAAATTGTAATTCTCTGTTGTGTGTCTGGTTGGAGAGTATGGCTACTGGCATTTCTTCATACAAGTAATCATTTATTTTCTCTATCCTCTCTCTATATCGTTCATAAATATAGATGTATCTCATGACGCTGTGGAATGAGATGCTCGTCAATTTTTTGGTATATATGGAGTTATGGAGCTACATGTATTTGATATCATCTTAAGCTTAAAGCGTGTTTCATTTGTCTTGTTTCTCACTTTCTGTTGAAAAAATAGTCAAACCTGTGTAAGACGGCCATCCATTGTCAAGGAGAAAAGTGGCCGTATAAGACAGCTGACCGTCTTAGGCAGGACTGATCAAGATGAAGAAAACAAACCATTCTCATCTGAGGTCCCAATCGAAAGTAGCCGCATTGTTGTTGTTTTTGTTGTTGTTGGTTTGTATTTATTTTTTGTTGTTGTAATTTTCAATTTGTTCCTGATTTTGCACAAGGGTGACAATATAACGAAATGTATCAGACGAGGAAGACCGAGTGCCATGTTAAAATAAACACATGGGTCGAAACCACTCAGAGAACGAGTGACGCTTCTGTCACAAATTCATGTTGACGTCCATTGTTACTTTGTTACAGACTTTGTAAACAGTGACCACTCATCTCACTTACGATTTGTGTATGATTTCTGGGCGCGGCTTATGGATTGTGAGGGATCACACGTTTACCTCACCAGCAGCTGAAAATTGGTACCTTTTGGTCAACAGTGGGAGGGGCCTTCACAGCATGATCGGTTGGAGGGACTACTTAACAACAACGGCAGGTGATTGGATTATGAAGGCTCGCCCACTACACCAGGGGCCAATGCACAATTTATGACAAAACGTAATGGAGTCACTAAGGTGGCCGCCTAAGACGGGTGTTATTGCTTTGTGTGATAGGGGTTGTGTGTTGAAATATGGTGGCTGCGGCCGCGTTGGACAGGTGCCCGTTTTACACAGTTAAATTATATAGAAAAAACGCAAGGGGGGAAATGGAAAGAGGTCGTTTGTACAGGTGGCCGTCTTATAGAGGTGGCCGTCAGGGCTGGCTGGTTCGACTGTACCATCTATTTTGAACAAAAATTGAGATATTTACGATTGAAGGAAGAGGGGGTTACCTGCCGTCAAAAATAAAAATACAATGGCTGCCAAAGTTTGGTGATTTACTAAGCTTGAGTGTCCTTGAAAACTACACATTTACAATTTATGTGCCTTTGTTTTTCAGTACATTTGTAACATCGACACAGAAATGTTTTTAAATGGGCATAAAAGGAGTTGAGCCAAAAAAAAGAAACTTCAGAAAAAATTGCCTAACTGCTAGAAAAATGCGCAATTTCTTCGATGTCATAACTATGACGAGCACCTGATTTCACAAAGCCTTACACACACGAAGCATCTCTGTCCATGAAAATTTTTTAATGGCAGAAATTATAGCGGGGATGCCACTTTTCCGCTTTTTTCCGGTATTTTGATCCTGATCCTCTATTCCGTTATTGAGATAGAGATAGAAGAATCTGTAGTTGGAAAAAAAAGTATATCTAATCTATTTTTCTTTAAATGTTTATCATTTCTCTCTGTGTACACCCATTGCTTATGTTTGTTTATCATTTCTGTCTGTGTACACCCTTTGGGTTTCAAATTGATATTCATACGTTAGCGAGACCGTGGCACATGGATTTTCAGCTATTTAAAAAAAAGTTGAGTGGCATCCCTGTTAATAGGTCCTGGAAAAAGTAACAGGCGAGCAGTTGTCTTGGATCTCCAAAATGAAGCTTAAAATACAATATGAGCACTGCATTGCAGGTTCATATTCATCAAATTCAAGGTAGTCATTTGTTTTTATGGCAGAAATTTTAGATATCAATGCTTTGAGTTTTGAGTGAGCTGCTATATCAATGATAAGTGCAATTGGCTAATTATTTTTGAAATTGCATACAGAATTTGAGAATGCAGATGTGCTAAAACTTTTAAAAAATTTGATTCCGCAGTCTGTGGAATGAATTATTGCCATCTAGTGCTAGTAATTTGCTAGGCTCTACACTACAGCAACACAACTTGTTCAGCGAACAATACTCAACAGATGACACAGGCATGCCTTTGAACGAATCGGCCCTTTCGCATAGATTTTCCTGAAAATTTCCAGCATTTCTTCGGTATGGCATCAAAGAAACGAAAATGCCTCTCTTTTTAAATCAAACTTTTTGATTGAGGAAGTTGAAAAGGGGCAAATTATAAAGGGGGTGTATACAGACCAAGGAGTTAAGAACTAATCACAGAATTCTACACTTAAGTGTAGAATTCTGTGATACTTCGTGACTTTGTTCCCGGTTACTGGGTCTGTATACATTTTCAGGGTGGTCTACAATGTTACTTCCCTTTATTCTACATTACTTGCTCGGTGCATATATTATTATATAGCCTTAGTGGATTCAACGAAATTGAAGCTCGGGTCCGACGACTTCGTTGAATCTGAGTTCCACTATGCTGCTATAGAGTCTGCCTTAATCGAACATGGTTACTAATAAAAAAACAACAACAGATTTTTACTTCTTTGACTTTGCCAGAAAACTATCAAGTAGCCAAAATGCTCCAACAGTGGGCCCTGGTTATAACACTTTAATAACAGGACCACTGGGACCGCTGTGATGTCCCTCTTGTACCCGGGGATCACATTTGCACACGCTGTAACTGTAATGAAAGATTTAACAAATGGGATCACTTTTACATTCGCTTGTGTTGAACTCGCTTGACTTTATCTTTGGTTAAGTTGATAATTTTCTTGGGTCCCAGCACCTCTTCTTCTTTACGGGTCCCAACGGTTAAGTTGAACTTCAGATGATTTGATCTTTCTTTTTTGTACTCCCTGACTTCATTTCATCAGTAGTCATCTGTATTACTACTAAGATGACCCACTGCCAATGTATCCGTCATTGCTCTTTTCTTTTCCAGTGATATTTTTTTCTCATCTTTATCTTCATTTTCCTCATATTTTGAAGTTGACCAGAGATGATTTGAGATGTACGGGTAGTGATAAATAGTATGCATAAAATATAAAGCACATATTCATGCTCCACGCAACAGTATAGCTTTCCTTCTTTGTAGAAGTAGATGTCTAGACACGTTGAGCTGTCCTTTTGGTAAAGCTTCCCGGAATTTTCTGTAAACATGATTGTAGCCCCTTTCTCTGTTGCGGCTGTCACAGAAAAGATGTTCTGGGCAAACGATGGAAGGTATAACGCATCCTTGAGAGTGATGGAGCACAGCTTTCCTTTTGAATCACAAATGTCAATTTCTGCATCCCCCTGCCCCAAAACAAGGCTTCTGTTGCGGGTGCCGTCAGCGAGTTCAATGATGTGGTTCGACGACTTAAATTTTTTATTAAAACGTTTGAACTTACTTTCGTCGTTCACGATATGTACGCTGGCACTACTGTCCACGAATAATTTTCCGAAGTTTACAGAATTATCCGTTGTTGCTCTTTGGTCCACACAGAATGTATAGTGTTCTGATTCTTCACTTTCACTTGTTTCTTTCACTTTTCTAAGTTTCGAGAGCTTCCTACAATCACTTGTTGAATGTGTTTTGTTTTTACAAATTTCACACCACTTATGTTTTTGTAATGTCTCACCTGTGCGAGGCTGACAGTTCGAAGACGTTGGTGGTTGCATCCTCCTGCAGAAGCTGGTGTCGTGTGTCGGCGATTTGCATCGATGACACCATCGTTTGTGATTAAAAGACATCACGTTTGTTGACAAACTCGTCTGTAGTGGTTGTCGTCGGCTGATCTCATCGGTGTCTTCGTGATTTCGAAGTGCGACTTTGAATTCTGAAAATGTCAAGAGTCTTGACCCGTTGTGTCATTACGGTGACGAAAGGTTGGTATCCACTGGGCAAGCCTTTCAGGACCATCACGACGAGCAGGCTGTCAGAGATCACTTCTCCGGCGTCCCTCAGACATGAGGCAGCTGTCTCGGCACGGATGATGTAGTCCGTCATGGATTCGTGCTTGTTCTTGACGAGCGAAGTCAGTTGAGTGTAGAGAGTTATGACTTTCGGCTTTCCTGTCGGCCTGTAGTGGTTACGCAGAATTTGTAAAGCTTTGCGACCATCGTCTTTTGCGCCTCTGATGATTAACGATAGAGACCTGTCGTCCAGCACTTGGACTAGCTCGGCGAAGGCTTCCTCGTTTTTGTTGTCGTCTACTGGGAAATCGTCTTTATCCAAGTCTTTAAAAACTGAGTGTAGATTTCTAATTCTCATGATTCCCTAAAACTTGGTTTCCCAGAGGGAAAAATTCCTTTCATCTCCTTCAAATGAAATTCTCAGAGTTCTGGTGGTACTGTTTCCCTTCTATATTTGATAAAAGCAATCTAAATCTAATAGTCCTGTCCTCAGAGAAAATTGCATTTGAAAATAGCAAAAGTTGCAAAGAGTTGCAAGAAAAATTAGCAAAAGTTGCAAGACGTGTATGGCTAAACAACGCCACGGAACTATTGGAATACATTGTTGCTATGCTCATTGCAATCAAAAGTAACCAATATGAGTTTTGTTAGATCAAAATCAGAAGTTAAATGTGAATGTCTACCCCCCCCCCCAAAAAAAAAAAGTACATGGAGGTTGCATGGTGTACAAAAATAGTTTGTCCCTGACACATGCGTCAGGTCCTTGCACTCTCGCTGACGTTGGGCAGGTGTGACCTGCGTGGTTTTAGGGCTATTCAAATATAATCTTACACTTTCCTGCCCCCCCCCCCCCCCCCCCCCATCTCGTAATATTACGTTATTCGCTAATAATAATAATAATAATATGACATTTGTATTGTGCAAATCCGTGTTACAGTCACTCTTCTATGCGCTTTACTTTTAAATTATTAAAATTATAGTATTCGTGAAAAACATGCATACTATACACACATGTGACATAATAATTAAATACGGCACAAGCGGAACTTTTCCAGAAAAACGTACGGTGTCATTTTATCTCTTTAACCGCACCGGTGTATTCAAAATTAAGACTAGATCTACATGTCATGTAGCCCAGATATCTACCAGTGTATAAAGTGCGAGATGACATAATATATTATCGTGCTTGCCGCTCGAGGTCCACTGTATCGCCACAATGCAGTGCTTAAGGTAGCTCGAACTTACTCTAAGTGAAAAGTGTACATACTCTTTGTCATAAATTATATTTTCCTTGATTATTTTTACAACTTACAAAAATGTAATCTTACATTGGTTCAACCCCCACCCCCCTTCTTGCACTTTACTTTTACAGGAGTCAAAGACACCCCCCCCCCCCTTTTTCCGAGACGCAAGATGATATTTTTTTAAACCATCCCCTTTGCGGCTATCGTGGCACAAGTCGATCACGCCCAACTCGTTGTTTCAAAACAAACACGTTGTTTTCAGGCGACGAGATGGGCGATCATCCCGACCTGACCTTACCGGGCCAGGGTCACTGACTGGGCGGCAGCGGCACTTTGTGCAAAGGAGCGAATTGTCCCCCTTGGCGTCTTTACTTTTAGTCGTTGAAGAAAAATTCGGTGTTTTTAATGAAATTTTATTATTATTTTCCCAAATTTTGCGGGAAATTGGCTAAAATTCGCGAAATCACGAAAATGATAAAAGTTGCACTGAGGGCAAAAGTTGCGCGCGCAACTTGCGGGTTGCGGGAGCGAATTTCTCTGAGGACAGATAGTCTAACACCCACACTCTTAGCTGACATCATTTGTGAAGTCCCTTACTGGAAAAAGGTAGATGAGAACAAAAGCAAGTTTGGCATTCTCAACTCTGCACTGTCAACAGTCATCGCTATTTGAGCAATCTGTTTGAACGGAAAACACAGCTAAATCAAAGAAAATTCAGCAGTCCCGCAGATTTCGGGAGACTCTTGTGGTCTAGAGGTTAAGGTGTTCGCCTAACATTCAATACGTCCCGGGTTCAAATCCGGATAGCGATTGATAATTTTTTTTTCCTAAAAAATATTCTCCTTTCACATCCTTTCCTGCTCACTGCTCTCTAAAAATGTTGTCGTCTGCTTTCATCTCCATTCTCCCCGTCACCTCCTTTGCCCCCTCCTCTGGGCTTCTGACTCTTTCTGCAGTCTTTCTACTGCTACTTCTAGGCTACTTCGTACTGCTGTCTTTCAGCCACACCCCTGATCTTACGGTAAGAAAGATTAGCACCAAGCCTTCTCGGATAAGGGTGAAAAATCTCAGAGGTCTCGCGGGCAAGTTGCGTAGGTTTAAGATCCCTTGGTGGTCCAAAATCAGTAAGAGTAGGCTTTGGCCACCACTTGGGCAAAATTTAAAATTTCCTACCATCTGAAAAATGTTTAACCCTATCCGTACGCCTGGGGTCATTTTGTACCCCAGGGATTGTATTCTTCACATTTTAGAATACTTCTTCTAGTGCGAAGATCTCTTTGAAACTTTCAGTATTTCTCAAAAAATCATTTTGACAGACTGCTATGCAAAGCGTACGGATCGGATTAATGAGTAAATTTGTGTTTGGAAAGTGGTGGCACAGAGTTCCCCACTTCGTATGGGATACGGCAGTAAAACACGACTTACGTATAGGGTTAATGTGTCCCGCCAACCACATTTCGGTACTGGTACATGTATAATGAGTGGACTCCACCACAGGCACGTCACTGAGACACACACATATAGGTAGCCTTATTGAACTGTACGTCAAACTTCAGGCCTGCTACTCTATTTCTTTAGATCCAACCCATCTCAAGTTTAAGTAGGCCAGTCAGAGGAAACTTTCTGTGGTGTTAGGAGGATTTTGAGTGTTTTACAATGGTAAAAAATACCCCTGAAAACTACTTAAAAAATCAATTCAAAATGTCCTAGGCAAGTTAACTGTACCATACGCGTTGAGAAAGCTCGTTAGCTTGCAAGACCAAAGAGCTTTCACAAAATGTATTGTACAGCGGTAAGCCACACTGAATTTTAAGCTTAGTTTTGATGCCAAGTATAAGCTCAATAAAATAACATTTGTTTTCAGCCGATCTTGACTTCCATGACCTTTCTTTCAATTTTGGTTCATGTAAATCTGATGCACTCCTTTCCCCGGCCTTGGTGGAACAAAAGCTCTTTTGGGTTAAAATGAACTGATAGGAGAAACAGATTTGAAACATAGTCCCAAATAAGGGAGAGAAGTTAAAGTTAAAGGCTGACTAAATCAGCCAATACACCACAGGCACTTTCTTATATCATATATATAGGGGTGGGGTGGTGTGTTAATTACACCCCCCCCCTCCATCATCAATTTTATTTATATCAAATTCAAAAGCTTGGTCATACATACAACTGACAAAAAGTGTATACCTGTACACTTACTATATGATATATATATGTGAAGCATCATGGTGAAATCAGGCGCTCGTCAAAATAACAAAATTGGAGTGAAACAGGCATTTTCCCACCAGTTTCATAAATTTTAATCAAATTTTTGGTTTTATGGTCAACCCTTTTATGTCCAAATAAAAACACATTTTCATGTAAATTATATTGAAAAAATATTGATTAAAAGCTCAAAATATGTGGGGATCAAGGACTGGTGATGGGTCTCATTTAAATATTGAGAAATGCCTAAGCGTCTCAAACAGCTTCTCCCAATCCAGCCAACCGTACCTGCCCGTGGTGGTCCCTGTCCTCACTGACACGGCTCTGGCGAATGGCGAGTTGTTGGCGCCAACAAACCAACCCCCCCCGTTTCCTAGAGGGGTTAAAACAACAGGATGGGAGCAGGTGTGGCCCCACAAGGTGCAGGAGGCAGAACCCACCGATGCGTGGTAGATGCTATGCTCCTCACTAACACACCCCTACTCTCCCTTGAGTGTGTGTCTAATCTGCCAAACACCTGTACTGATTTTTATCAACACACTCTCTGTGGCTGAGAAGGTACCAGCCAGTTCGAGAGTGTCTGAGTGCAGGGGGTGGACCGAGTGGAACGCCTGACTTGCCTTCTGGCCGTGGACCTCTTAGTAAAGGCACAACGACCCAGGACGTGACGATCCAATGGCTTTCCCACTTGGCTGACACCTCATGCAAAAATAGAAAACTAGCCATTGGTGGCGGGGAATGGGCAACGTGAACCCTACCGGAATTACACCGTCACAGGGCAGTTGGGTCTTTCCAGTCTCATGAAAACCCCTTGTACCCTCCTATCCTCAACATGAATGGCCCCTTCTCAGGGTGGGCAGACAGTCCACAGACACTCCAGTCAACAACAACTCAAAATATGTTATTTTTTTGTTTTCAAGGACTCTTTAGCTATTGAAGTTACCAAACTTTGGCGGCTATTTTTACAGCTGAAACCAAGCGAACGTACCTCTTTCATTCATAAATATCTTCACTTCTGCTCAAGATAGATGGATATTTTTTTCATCAAAAGCAAGATAAACGAACAAGCTTTAAGACGATACCAATAACTCAACATGCACAAAAAAATGACGAGCGCCCGATTCCACAGCATCATGACACACACACATACATATA